CTCAGCCATTTCTTTCTTCTTCAAATCAGCCGCCTTCTTTTCGTCAGCCTTCCGTTGCTTTGTCTCAGCCGCCCGTTGCTTTGTCTCAGCCGCTTTTTTTCTCTTTTTTTCAGCCGCCTCCTTCTTCTTTAACGCAGCCTCTTCTTCCATACTTACAGCCGTTAAGTTATTCTTAGGAGACACATCCTTCTTTCCTAACTCAGCCGCCTCTTTGTCCTTCTCTTTAATCTCATTTCCTTTTTGTTTAAACCTTATTATCTTGTGCCCGCTTCCTAAGGCTGGGTCCTTTGCAGGAGAAATACCAACGAAATCAACAGTGTCTCCCAAATTCTTAGCAAGTGTACTATGGACAGAGGCCTTAGCAGGTGTACTATGGACAGAGGCCTTAGCAGGTGGACTATTGACTGACTGCTGCGGAAAAAAGTTTGACGGTGGCGGTGGCGGCGATGGTGCTGGCAACGTTAAAGATTGTTGGGGAACTTTAGAGAAGTACTCGTCCACTGCAACTCTGACTAAATCAGGAATGTTCGTATAACTGGACTCGATTCAGGATAACCGCGCGTCGAAGTTTTCGAAGTTGTTCTCGTGGCTGTCTATTTTTGAGACAATTCTCTCCAGACTAAACATTATTTTCACCAGTATCGGATTTTCTCCAATATCATCATTACCTTCCTTCTCGTAAGCACCCTTTCCCTCCACAGCAGCTTCATCCTCTTGGAAGATGCTCACTTTCTTCTGCTTCTTAATGGGTGGCTCAGCCTTTGACGAAACACCAAAAACCTTTGTGCTTGTTTGTTTGCGTTTCATCTGTGTTCCCCAAAAACCTCTAACAAACCGACCTGCATATATGTCTGTTATCAAGTTAACGAGTTGCGGGTCAGCTGCTTCATCCGGCCACTGAGGAAACATCTCTTCTACGGAGTCCTTCATAACTATTTTTCTCACGCGCACCTACAAAATCAGCCACCGAATACATAATAACTCAATTGTCAAAGTACTAATAACTCAGCCACAAAGTACCAAAACCCAGCTACCATGCCACCATATAAACACTATCTCAGCCATCAAATAACTAATATCAAGAAACCCAGCCACTATGTACATACTAACTCAGCCATCAAAACTAATACCAAGAGGCTGAGATATTGTTTATATGGTGGCTGGGTTGTTGGTGTTCATAAAACAACTAATAACTCAACCATAAAATACTAATAACTCAGACACTTTATACATGCTAACTCAGCCATCAAATAACTAATATCAAAAACCCCAGCCACGTAAGTACATAAGTACTTATAACCCAGCCAACAAATAAATAATAAATCAGTTGACACCTTACCTCGCCATGTTTTCTAATCTCCTCAGTAATGACAGTATCAAAACTTGAACGTGTACGCTTTCCACCCCATCGTAAAAGTGGAACTTCTTGCTCATTGACCACTCTCCCAAAACGCTCTCCAAAACAAATGACAGATTC